ACAATATGAATTTGTTTCACCCTAAATTAAATCAATTTAAATTTAGATTAACAAAAAAATCAAACCATTATCATGTATATATATACTATTAAGTATATAAAATTTATAAAATATTTGTGGATTTCACGTTACTGTTTTGTATGATCTAGCTGATAAAATGGTATATGATATGAAAAAAATGGCTAAAAATGATGCAAATGGACTATATCAAAGCTACATGTATATGACAGTATTGTATATATGATACAGATAATGTGGGAGAACACAGATAAAAACCAGGTAAAAGATATATGAAACAGACTATAACTGATTTCACAACATTACTGCCTCTATGTTTTTTTTAAAAAGTGGGAGAAAGGAGAACACACCGTTCCAATACACGACCTAGCTATTCATCGGAAATGCGTTCAGCAGTGACATCGTAGTACACAGCCCCCGGGGCTAAATTTACCTGTAACAATTGCTCTAGAAACAGTTATCGCCAACAGTTTTTTCTATTGTCGACAGTAACTTAAATAAAAGCCCCGGTTACGGCACGGTTTCTCACCCCGACACGATTTCTCACCCAGGTGGGAAATCGTGTTACATGTAGAAGTAGTCATATTGCCCGTTGCCATGAGGACAAACACTGAAATTGAGTGTGGGGGATTGTGGTATATTAAGACTTGTTTACTACTGCACAAACTTCAAACTTGTTCGAACTTGTGTAAGCTTATGCCATAACGCAGCGTCCGTCGTCCGTCGTTCGTCGTCCGTCCGTCCGTCAACTTTCCTTTTAAAATGCCTCTAGTCCTAAACGACCCAGTAGATTTTGACTAGGTCCAAATAGGGGAAATAAATCGAGGAAAACCTTTGAAATCCTTCTTCTACCACTGGAATTTAGGGATTTCGTCCCAATTCATTCTGGATCATCCTTGGGCAAAGGGGACTCAATCTTGTTAAAATGGTGGGTTTGGACCCCCTGGGTGGAGAGAGGCTGGCCCAAATAGGGGCAATAGAGGTAAAACCTTTAAAACCCTTCTTTTACCGTAATGGTATTTTGATCCAAATTTGGTCCGGAGCATCCTTGTGCAAAAAGGACTTGATCTTGTATAAACGGTGGGTGTGGCTTCTTTGGGTGCAGAGGGCGGGGCCCTAAAGGGAAATTGAGGTTTAAATCTTTAAAATCCTTCTCATTTACCATTTGAGGGATTTTATCCGAATTTGGCCTTGAGTATCCTTGGGGAAAGGGGTGCAGAGTTGCGGGGCTCAATAAGGGAATTTGACGTTTAAGATGGGGAAAAATGCCAACATCTTCCGCAAAATGGCCGCTGCAGACTGGCTTCTGATAAGTCGAAATGTCTGCATTGTCCAATGTCCCTTTGTAAAAGTGTGCCGTAACTACGAACAACTACTGCCATCTGCGTTGATTTTTTTTTTAAACAAATGTCCGTGTTAGGTCGGGTCCTGATTGGTTGATATTAAGATATTGACCGATGTTATAGATTTGATATGTAGATGTATTATGTAGGGTTGTCAACGGTTAGCCGGTTATCCTGTTATCAAAATCCTTAACCAAAAAGTCGGACATTTACGTACCCCTTTTGGGAGCCCCATGTTTCCCTAAGACCTACAAACTATCTGCATTTGTATCAGTGTTCAGGGATTACTGTACTGACAAAGGGATGTCGCCAACACCATAAAAATTCTGAACAAATTTTAAAGGGAAGCCTGAATACAGAGCTGTGATATATCAAATTTCTGAGATAGAACGCGCCTTTGTATGCGAGATGTAAAGATACTCTGAAGAGTACACACTTGATTAGCAAGCCCGTCCTCAATATCAACATTCCATCTTACTCAGTAATAACATACATTTTCTGAAGTAATTTAC